ATATCTCCTTATCGCTGACTTAAAAATCCAGGCAGATTCGTGACACCTTGGGCATCAAAAGCAAAACTTTTTCCAGTAGTGCATTTCGCTAGTGATTTCTACGACGATAGTTCATTTGCGTAGTATTTTTGCAGCTCCTTCATAAGCGTTTTATGACGAAACCACATCTTGCTACTGCATGCGCCTCATCGATCTGCATCTCCTCATGCGGCAACTTTGGTGTAGTTGGCTACACATCTGGTCACATCGACTGCTTCAACCTACAAAGTGGACTGCATCGGAAATCATTCAAGTACAGCGAGCGGAAGAGTAAAGCCCATCAGTCCGCAGTGCAAGGATTGGCACTGGATTTATTCAACAAACAACTGGTAAGAAAAAACGCCGATTTTCTTGGCGGTGGTTACTAGGGTTAGTTCCATTGGTGGGCCTAGGAGGAGGAGGACAATGGGTCTTTGTCCTCACTTCCCTTCCAGCAGCCCCACTTTCTTTAACCCCTTGGTCGCTGCCGCTGGGAGTGGTCAGCAAGGAGGGAAGGGAGGGAAGAAAAGAGAATGGGGTCTCCGACATAGTGACGAACGGGAGGAGAGGGGAGGGACGGGAGGTGGGGGGGGGGGCAGAAATGATACCCCACTCCGAGTAACCACCCTGAAACCGCCTACGACTTTGATTGGTAGTTTGGGGCTGTTGGTATTACTGGTTTCTGTTTTGAATTGCTTTGTTTTTCACCACCGCATCTTTACAAAAATTTTTTTAATCGCGGAATTTCGTTCCCCTAAAAGCTGTTTTTTATTTAAGCGATATTTTATATTTTCTTCATTTTATTTATATTTTTATTTTTCCTTCGTCCATTTTTCTTTTTCTAGCCAAGAAAACTCACTGCATAAAAATATTTTCTGCTTAATTAATGAAGTATTGTTTAAAATATGTCTTTTCCTATCCCTTGTTTTACTTCATTGTTTCTTGTACATTCGTTTCTTTTGAATTATACAGATGAGGTGTGAATACATAACTTTTGCTTCAGGTCTCAGCCGAACGAGATGGACTTCTTCGTTTCTGGGATTTTCGATGGGTAAAACTGATCGCTGAATTGAAAGTCCCATCGCCGGTTGTACAGTTTTGCATGTGCAGCACTAATTCACTGCTGGCTATCGGTGTTGGCAATGGCTCAATTGGAATAGTGGATGTATTGTGTCGGAAAGTTGTGAGAATTTTCAGCGGAGCGCACAAATCAAAACTCACAGCTTTGGACTTTTCGCCCGACGGCAAATGGCTTGTCAGTGCCGACGAAGATGGATTAATCAAAGTTTGCCTTTCAATTCATATTTTAAACACTTCTGAAACGCATTTGCACTGCTGAAAGTTGCTTGATACCCTACAGATTCGTGTTGGAATGTTTACCCTCAGCATCTATCTGCAGTTGCAGACGCATATCAAAAAAGGTTTTGACCATTTCTTCTCGTTGTTCTTTGGTCATCTGGGCCATTCACCCTCCTTCCAGTGGCACAGGTCCAGTGCTACAAAAGTCAGGGTCTAAAGCTAAAACTGAAGCAAACAGTCTTCCACACTCCTGTCTTTCCTCCCAGGAACCTTGCTCTTCCTCTACCTCCACCTCTCTCCCCCGGTCGACACCGCACCAGTAGGTCCATTCCCCCCTCTCTTTCTTCCCCCGCCCCCCGGGTCAGCACCCGACCGGTAGACCCACTTCCTTCCTACCCCTCCTCCTCTCTCCCCGTGGAGGCCATGTTGGATCCGCCTATGTCTGGGATTCTCACATTCTTCGGCTGCTCCCCGCCATAGCAGTTTAGGTGGAAGATGAGCGAAGTGCTAAAGTCTGTTATATTCTTCATTTCATGTTGCTGTCCATGCTGCTTCGTATAGCTCACGTATTACGCTTTTGCATTTGAAACATAGCTACACGACTCTTACTACATAATTATCACTTGCTAATTTTAGAGACAGTACTCTTTGCCACCCAAGCTTTTTTGAATGAAATCTGTCACTGTGTATTTTTGAAGCTGCTATGAATTGTATTCTGCCATGTCTCAACACTGCTTGGCCACTGGCCAAATCCACATTGCATTTTTGGATTTATTTCTCAAATTTTTACCGAAAATTTGTCGAAATTTACCGAAAATTATCGAGAAAGACATGTCAAAAAAAAAAAAAAAAATTGCGGAGAAAAATTCAAAAGGACCGAAAGTTTTTGCAGGAGAATTTATTTGTCAGAAATTGACTTATTTCCCTTCCTACATTTCTGTATGCTTGAAGTAATCCATGACGAGGACTGGAAAGAATCTTGTGCGACGCACTGCAGTTTCAAGATGCTTTTATGATAATGGCCTGCATATTCTATTTTTTGGAGTTGT